ATATATACATATATATATATATATATATATATACACACACACACACACAAGCCACAGGGATTGATCAATGTTTTCATATTTCACTATTCTTTTGTTTGATCAAACATAATTCACTGTGTTTGGACCACGTCAGACATATAAAAGCATTACTTATGCACATCACCTCAAAAACAGAGCACAATTGCCCTAAAGCGCACAGCATAAGGTAAGAGATGACAGCTGTCTGTGCTATCTGGGGCTGCTTAGTGATCATAAATGTATTGTTTTCACTTCTGCGCCATGGAAACACCACAATTTATTCGGCAACTGTTTGATATGTGAATATAATTAATTTTAAAAAATGCTAGAACCGTATGAGCACCGGCAAGAGCTTTCATTTGAGCTATAACTTGTACATGTGTCAAATGAAAAATATGAAAATGAACCAATGTTCAATACCCAGCTCGGGTATCCAAAATACTGTGTATTTAAGTGTAAATAACTTTTGTACAGTAGAAAAAAAACAAAGTCATGCATATGTGCATAATATATAGATTCTACACTTTCAAATGAAACCACTAACGGGGGATTGGTGCAATGATTGCCCTTTAAATCTTAAAGTGAAATTCAATGACGTCACGGACCCAGTAGCAAGTTCACAAAGTTTAACTGGTTCAAAGTCTATATTAATACCTCAAGGGTACATATTAGTAAATAAAAAGTACAAAAGTGTTCATTTTTAGGTAAGTTTTAGGTACTAATTTATACTTTTGTTACCAATATGGACCCTTTAAGTACAAATGTGTATCTTTTGAAAAGGTACTACCCCAGTGACAGCTCACGTACCTTTATTTCTGAGAGTGTATTAGCCCCAGCTTGACGTCATATATTTCAGAAATTGCCATTTACCCCAAATCCTGAGTGCTTTGAGATTCGATTGCAGGTGTAACAAGAGGAATATTGCTTGTTTGTTTCTTTGTGTAATGTTGTTTTTGGACATTGTGCTCCCGGTGATAGCGTTGTTGATCTGTGAAGCTTGACCGGAGTGCCGCAAGTGTCGCTTCTGGGCCCTTTCGTTTTTTTTCCGTTTTTTTATTCTGGCATGTCCTCAGGTGCGCCTGTCCGCACATGTGCCTGCTCATTTGCTTTACCGTCTTTGACTTGTATTCCCCCTTCCCTAGTAAAAAGGAAAAAAAAAACATCTGAAGCATCGTTATCGCCATCCAGACCACTTTTTATTTTCGGTGGAATTACTGAATCATGTCAGCTCGACGTCCCTTGAGTTTCAAATGCAAGCTGTAGAAAAATTAGCCATTGCTTCCGCATGACAAGTGGGATCTATTAGTCTGCTCTGGCCCATAGAGCATGAGCGCGCTCGGTCCACATGGGACCCTCTGTTTTCTGTAACGTGCGCGCACACACACATATGCACATCCATCCGCGGTTCTGTGGCATTAGTCATGCTTTTAAGGTCAGACATAAAGATGCACCCGGTGCTTCTGGGCTACACCGACAGACAGGAACATATTCACAGATCTGTTTAGCATTCTGTATGTGATTTCCTGTTAATTTCCATTGCGTGGAGGTCAACTGTGACAGCAAGGCAACTGCCTGGTCTGTGTGACGGCAGCATACTGACCTGCCCGACCTTGCTTAGGCACAGCCTGTGGCAGCGCTAGGAAGCATTAACACAGTCGAAGCTAGCTTTTGGCTTTCGGTCAATGTCACGACTTACAGCATCTCAGATGCAATATGCTGTCAGCTTTCTCTGTATTTTACATCGCTTTTAGTTGTGCATGAGTGTATTTTTGCGCATTGTTATATTGAATAATGACAAAATGTCCTTAATGTGTTTTTCTTATCTCTATCTCTTGCAGGTATTTCAGTAACAAAGAAGACACACACCTGTAAGTCATGTATTTTACTTTTAATCATTAATTTTTTTTTATTATTTAGTATTATTATTATTATTATTATTATTATTATTATTATTATTATTGTTTAAAGGGATAGTTCATCCAAAAATGAAAACTGTCATCATTTACTTATCTTTCACTTTTTTTGAACATATATGTTAGCAATATCACACTCGTAGCTGTGTGATATGGCTGTAAATCAGCACTGGTGGGAGGCGTGCGTTGGCTTGAGGCCACAGGCAGAGTGTCTTAGTGTTCCACCAGTGTAAATATACAGCCATATCGCTCTGCTACGAGTGTGATATCGCATTTATGCAACAGTTCGACTGCATTATCGTGTATATAAACAAGAAAAAGTCTCAAAAACCTTTTGTACGAGGAACTACTTTCTTCCACCATTCGTTTACATCTGCAGCTGACGGTCAGAACAGCAGAAACTGCTGCTACCTCACCAACGTCACTTTAGAGTTAGTATTTGAATGATTCTCTAGCGTAATGTCTAGTTATGACAAAACAGGTTATGTTGCTGATATTTTAAATCATAAGGCTGAACGGCATGAAATGCCATCAGTCTACTGAGATTTCAAAGTATTTCTCTGTTGTAATGGAGATATCACAATAATTAACCCCAAAAAGCCAAAGCTAACACTAGCAGAATACTATGGTATAAATACAGCACTACAACATACAAAAGAAAGAGATGAATGCCACTTACCTGTTTTATAATGATTTGATCAGCTGTAGTTGTAATTTAAGCTTTGAGTTTTTCTCGACTAAGGACTTGCGGAGACTGCGGTCTCTGGCACCATCTAGTGGCGGAACGTCAACCATCTTTGCTCTGCTCAGTATAACTGACTGATGGATGCAGATGTGCTGAATCTATTAAAAATATTTAAAATAGTCTTTATAAATGAACTGCATATTTGCAATCTAAACAACTGCATTCTTGCATAAAAAAGCCTTAAACGTACATTATGTTGTCCAACAGCTGAAATATTTGTCAAACTGCTGTGAGTTTATTGATATGCTGTTACTTTATGTGGGCGGAGTAATACACAAGGGTAAAGAGTCTGTATGAGTGCTGTTATCGCAGAAAATTGCACAGCTATCAGCCAATCACATTCGAAAACCAGACAAAACTGTTGTGTATATATATAAATATATATATATATATATATATATATATATATATATATATATATATATATATATATATATATATATATATATATATATATATATATATATATATATATATA